TTTGCGTGGCTTGTGTTCGATACATCCAAAACAAGACACAATCTACGCGCAAACCTGAACGCACCACCGTTACGAATTTGTGGCCTTATTCTTAATAAATAATCTTCCTATTGATTTTGGTCGAAATTATAAATTACATTCATTATTGTTGTACTGTTGAATGGTTGTCACCATATTTACTAACGCAAAATCGTGTCCATGCAACATTTCGCACCCTGGTGTATAAGGCCACATCAACATAGTTACAATTTTTCAGAAAGGTTTTAAGATTCTATGAAAGAAAGGTATGTTCCAAATATCTCCACTAAAAAAATCTCACTAGTGGGGTTCCTAAAGTTTGTTCCACAAATCTCCACTAGCGTAGTACTTGCTACGTAGACACTGACAAAATATCGACGCTTTTACATTTTTTAAAAGAAAACGCGCGCTGGATCGATGACAGTAAAAATCAAGCTAAAATGGTGGGGCAGTGGGGACTTTTTTGGTGATTTGTGTTACATACCGAAAGAAATTCGTCTATAACTTTTTATAAAATTTCACATTTTGTTTCATGTAGCTTGTATCACATGTGGCTTTATTATACTAATGGTGCGAATTGCTTCCTTTCGGATCGCTAATACGAAACGCGCATTTTAGCTCTTAAAACATGGACATTAAAGCTTTTTCTAAACGGCTTAATGTGATTCCGCGTCGCTAAGAGTGGCGATTACCTGAGCGCGTAACGGGTAATTGGATAACACGGGATAATTACAATAATCAAAGTAACGAAATCGCGCGTACTATAATTATTAATACGCTTATTTGTTATCTTATTAACTAAAATATGTACAGGCCGGTACATGGCGAGACTAACATTTATATTTACAATAAGTTTGGTGGCTTTGGCTAACGACAGGGCATTCGTTCGCGTTCATTCCTACACTAAATGCATGGATAGGCGTGAATAGTAGTAGTGAATATTAAAAAATCAATATCAAATCTCTTACACCGTTTATTCCCAGTAGTTCCATGTACTTAGTTCCAGGTGGAACTACTGCAGCCCAGAAGTTCCACGTATATGGAACTTGTGGGAATAAATTTTATATTTTTCTCTTAATCTTAGCTTTATAATAAGACCACATCACACGCAATGATATTCTACCGTATAATATCATTTAAAATGCCGAATAAAATATAGAAATGACAGAGTGAAGGGCGGGTAAGTATGATAGTTAATCGATAGATAAATCTGTTTTCGACAATCAAATACCGCGAAATTCAGCCCATCCATGCATATCTACAGATTGTAATTTATAATTCCTCAAGTTCTGAACTTCGCGATTTATTATTACTGTGACAGTAATACTGTTACAAAAGAAAGAGAAGCAAGCTAAGCAAAATCAGCACTGCTAGCACGACAGTGCGCGAAATACGCGAGAGCGACATAGATCTCACGGTTTATGTCGCTCTCGTGCAAATCGCGTCCTGTCATGTAAGTCCTACTGATATACGAATCCATGTATTTTCTCCTACGTTTTTGTTGAAAAGGCTCAATTTACATTGGGGCAGAACGAAATGAAAGCGAATTTTCGTAACGAAATTGTACATAGCATAACGAACTTTATATATCCATCATATAACGTACAAATTAGATACGATTCTCTGGATGACACGCGACCAGGGTCCCAAGTCTGCTAAATTAAAATCATCTCAGTTCTGTGTCGATAGTGTTCGTGGCAGGATTTTGTACGTTGAAAGTAGTGGCTTGTCTACTATTCAACTGCTGTGCTGCATTCGATGGCACGTCAATGACGTAGTCTACTAATATTATATGTACGTGTTTAAATGGAAGACTAAATTGTTGATTAAACGAGATAAAAATGAAGTTACGCATAAGTTTCATGGTAGTTTTAGTAAGACAACGTCCATGCTGCTTTTTGCTTTGCATGCTTTTTGTCCACATCACTCAATGGTTTTTTTTTCTATTCGTTTTTTAAGTATTGTGTTTCTTATGTTTTGTGGAGAAATAAATACCTTTTTATTTTATTTTATTTTAAAAATGACTGTCGTAACCATTGAAATAACAAAGTAAGAAAGTTAAATCTCTCTCCTGTAAAATTTGGTTTTACCAATGTTTTAAACGAGCATTTGCACTGTCCCCGACGAATTGAATGAATGAATACCATCACTGCCATTCCACTGACACTCTATTGAGGGTTCAACTGACATTGCAACTAGATTTTATCAGAATAAGAAATATTATCTTTTTCAATTGCAACTTAATCGCAATGGAGTACACTACAAGTACAATAGAGGACATCAGTTATGCGTCGATAGAGTCAGTGGCAGGATTTTCTAAAAAAAAGGTTATAATATTTAAGTTAAAAAACAAAAATGGTATTTTGACTTACAACAAGTTACGTGTGAGGTATCGACACATTTAATTTGAACAGTAAATTGAGGTTTAAACGCGATATGCATAGTAATTTCTATGGTAGTTTTAGTAAGGCAGCATCGACCGTTAGGAACTGTATGTATGAATTTACCATCACTGTCATTCCATTTATACTCAACTGCCATTGCAACTGGATTTTAACAGATTAGCAAATATTATCATAATGGCAATGTAATCTGAGTAGAGTCTCAGCGGAATTATAATGATCAGTGATTTCAAAAAAAATTAGAATTGGGGCCCTAGTTATTCATAGACCTGCCCCCTAACTGTCTAATTTGAAAGTCAGTGTGAAGTCAGATAAATGATCAAATCTTATATATTTCTGAAACCCATCCTTGAATTAAGAAATCGACTTATCCATTGAACAAAGATCTATGTGTAAAACTGTTTGTTCTCAGGACATATTACATTTCGTTCGTTCTTCTTCGCTGTGGATGTCAGACCGACCGTTGTTCGATTTTATATTTCAGAAACGAAATAAGATATGTAAATTCTCAAAACACCTTTACATAGGCCTTAGTTTGAATAACGAAATTGTTTCGTAACTTACTTATTCTCTTTTCGTTATATAATCACATCCGACTTTGTTCTTCGGATGAATCGAAATTTAAACATAGATAAATTCATTTTGGAAATAAGAAAAAAGAGAACTTCAGAATTATAAATCACAATAATACCTATATTTCGACTTTGATAAATAGGAACAATATCGCCATATGAAAGGTTATATAGCATTGGAATAAACGTTATACCCTATAATGAATAACATATTTATGTCTAACTACCAGAGTTAAGAATAAAGTAACTTGAGACTTTTGTTTATCAACATAAGATGCAATTTGCTTGGAAGTCATTGTAATAATTCAACATACCAAAAATATTAAATTCAGATCAAACAATTTGATTTTTTTTATATTTAATTAAATTGTTTATTATCTCTACTATGTCGACTGAAACACTTTGAATCCAATGTCATGGGATAATTAAAAAAAATTGGGTGTACGTAACGACATACGTTATTAATTTCTAATAGTAAAATTATACTTTATACATATAATAATATTTAAGTACAGTACCCGTGTACTTATCTTTTGGGAACCTTGAGGTAAATTTAGAATTTCATCTTAATTTTCATTGAAGACTACAATCTGAAGATGGTTCACAAATACTTTTTCCGATGTCGCTGCTTAAAAATAGCGGACCCAAATCAAAATACCTATTTTATTTATTTTCTAGGTGTTTATGAAATTAGACACCACACCGTATTTTGCAAATTTCCAACGAACCAAACATTGGCGACAAGAATGGGATCACCGAAAATAGGCGGAACACATTTACCTAAACTTCAAGGAAGTATAGAGTGGATAATATCTAACTCTGGAATACCGGAATTATTCTATAATAATAATGTAACATGTGCCCGAGAACCACTCCAATTGCCTGGTCTCAAACTAGGGAATTCCCTGTACTATAAGTACCAGAGCAACGAACAGAACCAATTTAGAAAAGTTCATTTCCTAAATTGTTCCTACCGAGAATCGAACTCGGGACCTCAGCATCCAGCGTTCACAATGTAAACCGTTAGGCCACATTGCATTTTGTACTACATTATAATGTGTAACCAGCAATTTACTTTGGTAGTGTAGTAGAAGAAAAGATAGATTTTGTAGCCTTTTAATTTTAAACATTCCGGGATTTCACAGGTTCGCATTATTCACTCTATGTGTTTTACTTGAAGTTTAGGCAACTATACTCTACTCATTCCTGTCTTTGGTTGCCCATCCGTATTCAGAAAGCGTTGTTTTTTTTTTTTAATAAGGCACTGAGCTTTTTTAAAATAATCACGTGATAACATTGAGCCGGGATTCAACCATTTTACGCGCCAAATACGCTTCCTTTTTATTAAATCATACCCTAGTTTATTAGGTATTCTGAAGATAGGCCGCTATTCTGGAAAGCCGTCGATATCTCAACTAACTATAGGAATACTAACAGTTGTAGGCGGCAGTGAGGGAGAGTTTCCGTCCTTTTTTGGCAATGGATCACTAGTGTACAGTAGTGATGCAACGGAAGTGTCATAACGGAAACAGATGTCAAAAGTAAGTGTTAGCGGAA